TACTTTGGACACATCATGAGAAGGCATGAGACAGTAAAAAAGACAATAATGCCGGGGAAGAATTAAGTAGATAGTAGACCATATGCTAGATGGATGGGCTTTATAAAGAAGGTCAAGGATATGAATTTACAGGAATTAAGCAAAGCAGTGGAGGATAGGGCAGGGTAGGCAACCTAAGGCCCGCTTTGGACCGGCCCCAGGCCAGTCCTACCGCCGCCGCCCCCCACCATGATTATATTATTGTTGTTATTACTTGTTCTTGGGGTTTTCTTGGCAAATTCTCCACAGGGGTTTTGCCATGGCTTTTCTGGGGCTGAGAGAGTGTGCATGCATATTTTTTTTAAAAAAAATTCAAATTTTATTTATTTATTTATTTATTTATTTATGGTGCTTCGGCCCCCCCGATTGTCTGAGGGACAGCAACCCGGCCCCCGGCTCAAAAAGGTTGCCTACCCCTGGGATCGGGGGTCTGGGAGATGTTTCATCCACATGGTCAGTATGAGTTGAGATTTTAATTTACTTTATTTTATAGTACTCATTGTACTGTGTCACCTTGAAGTCCATTGTTGTACTTATGTATTGGGCCTTGTAACCTTTTTAAATTTCGCTCATTATTCACCAAATAAAATATGTCTGTCTACACCATGCTGCCCATCAGTCAGCATGTTGCCCTTAGACATCTTTGCAAAAGTATAAGAGATGTGGAGATGACACTTTAGAATGGACATGGTAAAGCTGACATCCCTAAAATACTGCCCCTGCTTCTTTGCTATCTGTACAAAGGATGTTAGCATATTTTATTTTCATGGGATCATGAAATTTATAAAATCACAGGAGAGTGTGTGTTTTTTATAATATTTTAATTTATTGTGTGTCATTTGAAGTTCTTTGCTGCACTTATGTATTATGCTTTGTATTTTCCTTTAAATCTTGCTGGTCTTTGACCGAATAAACATGTATGTATGTATGAGTTGAGATGGACATGAAAACAGTTCATAACAACAACAACAACCAGAGGAAGGAGCCAGCATGGTGTAGTGGTCTGAGCATTGGATTCTGGAGACCAGAGTTCGAATCCCTGCTCAATGGTGGAAACCCACAGGGTAACCTTGGGCAAGCCATACTTTCCAGTTTCAGAGGAAGGCTAAGGCAAAAAACCCTCTGAACAAATCTTGTTAAGAAAACCCCATGAGAAGTTCGCCTTAGGGCTGCCATAAGTTAGAAGCGACTTCGAGGCACACAGCAACAACATCCGCCAAAGAGTGCTGGTGGCTCACAAAACTACAAATCCCAGGATTCCATCGGAGGGAGTTACAGCACTTAAAGTGGTGTCAAACTGCATTATTTCTCAGCTTTGGGGAACCCAATGGCAAACCTCCTCTGAACAAACCAGGCCAAGAAAATCCATTGACAGGTTCACCTTAGGATCGCCATAAGTCAGAACCACTGCAAATTACGTCACGACTCTTGCCATTACATTCAGTGATATATGGGAATTATCATTTATGATTATGATTGCCATTACCTTTGTCTCTCTTTGTACCAAGCCTAGAAAAGGCCCATGATGTAAAACAAATGAGGTGGAAAGATCTCCGTTATTCTTTTTATTTAATGGGAAGAATGAAGACCTGATATCAGGATGTAGACCATATTGCAACCACCATTTCCCTCCGTTGCACCTCCTGCTTCGCAACCCGAGTTCAAGACTCCTACATTCCTCTTCCAATTAAAAATGCTAATAGGCACACAGTTAATTGTTCTGACTGCCGTTATCTGTCAGCAAGCAAGGCCACCTGTGGGAGGATTTCCTTGCCTCTTGATCAGGGAAAATGGAGTTGCAGCATGTACCGGGAACAGATAAAGGGCAAATTTACAAGCGTAAAAATTTAAAATGTGCAACTGAAAGCAGACTGCATCTGCCAGCAGAAGACTGCTGCTATTTAAGTGGCACAGAGAGAAGGTTTTCCCCCCCAATCTATGTACTGAAGAAATCTGGCTGTTCATCAGAGAGAAGCAAAAGATGGCAAAGAAACAGAGCTTGCCTGCATCAAACCAGAGTTATTCTTTGGATGGCAATTCCCAGAATCCACAAGCCAAAAATGAACTTTTCCTAAATTCTGTCTTCAGAAAATCTTCCCTTAACAAAGCCTTCTCCAAACTGATGCCCTGCCAGATAAGATGCGTCATAATAGCCTACTATTAGAGCATAATGGTTGAGTGTTGGACTATGACTCTGGAGTCTAGGGTTCAATTCCCAGCTCACCATGAAACCCACTGGGTGACCTTGGGCAAGTCACAGTCTCTCAGCCTCAAGGGGAGGCAATGGCAAACTTCCTTGGGACAAATCTTGCCAAGAAAACTCCATAATAGGTTCATCGTAAGTCGGAAATGACTTGCAGGCACACAAAATACATACACAGCTTAAACTTGAATGGCAACAGGAGCCATAGGAGCAGCAGTGTTTATTTCAATCCCAGTAAACTTGAGTTCAAAGTGAAAAAGTAGTTTCCACTCATTTAACTCAACCAGTGGGAGAGGAGCAGGCAGAGTCTTCAACTTCCCAATAGTCTCATTTGTTGCTGTTTTCTTTTTTCAGGCTTTCCTAATCTCAGGAAATAAATTCCAGGGTTTCGCTACTCGAAATGGTAGCTTTGCATGTTCTTCCTCGACAATTACTTTTGCTCTCTTGTTGACTGGTCACACCATCTTGACCACATTCTGATGCCACACATGTCCTGGTTTTCATCTACAAAATATCAGAAAGTATCAAACAAGCCTAGCTATGGAAATGTGTAAAGGTTAACAGCAACAACTATTATTAGGAAGGACCTTTGAGACTAACTGTGGGAAAGAAGTTGTAGCATAAGCTTTCGTAGACTTGGTCTACTTCCTCAGATACAACAAGATGCTACAAGATCCCTTGCATACTGATTTTCCAGACTAAGAGCTAGTGTGGTGTAGCGGTTTCAGCACAGGACTATGACTCTGGAGACCAGGGTTCGAATCCCCACTCGGCCATGGAAATCCATTGGGTGACCTTTGGCAAGTCACATAATCTCAGCCTCAGAGGAGGGCAAAGACAACCCCCCACCTCTGAGCAAGTCTTGGCAAGAAAGCCATGCGATAGGTTTGCTTTAGAGTTATCTTAAGTTGGAAATGACTTGAAAGCACACAACAATAATTCCAGTAACATGGCTATGTCTCTCAATTCATTATTAAGAAGGTATCCAACATTCTAATAGAAAACTCATTGTCTGAACATGGATCCTTGTATAGCCAAAAATCCCCCCCAACTCACAAACACACCCTGACAAACCCTAGGATCTGCAAAAGTACAAAAACATTT